ATTTTTTTTAATTATGTGGTCGGATTTTGAAAGAGCGTTAAAAAATACGTAATTTAAAAAAAATCACATTTATCCAGAACACAATCCAACCGAAATAATGAAGAAAAACAAAGAAATAAACATTTTGTAAAATTTTTTCCATACGTTATGTGGCGCTTTTACATTTTATTGTGAAGAATTACTATGTACCTCTGAACACCTGTCTACTGGACTATATGTATTTATTTAGATGTGAACAGTTAGTTGGTCAACAAACATAATATTCGTATTAAAAATATATGTAACCTTAGAACATATTTTGTAATGTGAACGTAATATCGGCTAGCAAGACAATGGTGTGTTTTCTAGGACGCCACTGCGTTGCTTGCCAAGTCGAGACCTAACTGTATATAACTTGTATTTAAACGAAGACACAATTAAACCACATTTATGTAACAGAATTTCTCTTACAGAGTTCAAGTAATAATAAATATTTACCACTACGAGGATAATAGTATATAAAAATATTGCGACTTATTTACACCATATAAAATGTAACAGGATCTACTGATATTTGTTTGGTTAATCATTTGAAAACATTATCGTTGAAGGTGTCACGTAGATAATGGTGATTCAAGTAAAATAATCGTAAATATAAACGATATTGAATAAATATTCTGAACTTGTTTTACGAAATAATAATATCGATTTTCAGGTACTTATCGAGTTCTGGAAACGATACCACTTTTTCATTAAAACCGGTTTCTATCTTTCAAAAATACTGGATTTTTCCTAGATATTCTTCAAAAGTTTTAATCAAAACTATAGCTGAAAAAGAAATATCGATGTATTAAATTCGTCAAATAAGATTTGTGGGTAATGTTTGCCCCGAAATGTTCGATATCTACATTCTAATGCCCTAGTAAGGTTTAATTAATCCCCATAACTTACAAAAGACGGGTTCTGATATCCAATGTTGGGGGCTTCATTAAATTGATTACCACATAACATTTACATCCTTGCGAAATTCCGTCTTTCACTATACATCTTTCAAAATAACTACGGCCTAAATTTGTCTACCTTCTTAAGCTATTGATTTGCTTCATAATGGTATCTGAGTCGCGAGAAGTCTTTCTATGACGATATTGATGAGGCTTCCTTCCTAAAGGAGGTGCCACCGCAGCATCCAAATGTCGGTTGATCAGAAATGAGAGAATTTTATGGTATAAATATTAACAAACGTTCGATGCGTTCGCGCGCTACTGGTGAGAATTGCCGTTTCTCTATGATTTTTTTAGAGGCGTTTGTTAAATTTCCAAGTGGCTAGACTGGGTTAAACATTTCCCGGTTATTTATGGAACAAAGTTTAACGAACATGCAAAACATTATATGTGATCGATAGTGTGGTCTACTGAAACACCGAACTTTGGTGGTTACTCATTTTATTTTAGGGCGATATCGACTGCTATGAATACAAACAAACAGAACCGTTCGGGCAAGTCTGTGCGTTTGAACCAGAGATCGCTCAAAACATCAGAGAATCGAAAATATGAGATTTATAAATGGTCTCGGATTTATTTCATTCTATTATTTGCAGATACTTTGAAATAAAATGTATTTATGGAAACGAATTCAATTTTTAACAATGGAATCTCGGAATCGTAACCATATTGTCATTTCCAACATTTTTCTATTTATAGTCCATCAACAAATGTTATTTTTAATTAATCTTTAATTGCAAATGTGATTGCTTTAACGACGTGGTGAGTCATCCAAAATTTTTCGTATCTGTAGTGTCTAAGTCATCCACTCATGTATATTTTATTAAAATGAAGAAAATCATTGTAGAAGGGCTCATCGTGTCCTTAGTTTAATATTAGCTTAATGCCTTCAAATAGACTGCGAAGACCTTGGGTAAGTTGTCGTCCTACACATCCTTACACTAATTGGTATTCTTGCAGTGACTCATATTGCATCTCCTGTCTAAACTGGAGAAAACCAAACTATTGAGTATAAAGTATAAAGGTCATTTTATTCCGTGCCTTCTGTCTTGCGGAAAATAACTATTCTGCTTTTATCGAGTATTTCCTATATGCGAATTGTTGTTTTTGTATATTGCTTGTAATTCAATGCAAGACCCGACAGAATGATAAATGTCGACGCTGCTCTATATATCAGAGTTACGATATCATATTATTTTATTTGACCTTCTACTAAGTGTTTACCCAGCCCCTTTTATTACATACATTCTAAGAATTCAATTAAATGATACCTTACACATACTTCTGTAAACATGCTATAAAAGACATCGAAACGATTCTTACATAATGATAATATTAAATAATATTACGGTAGTATAGTAGGATGTGTGGTAAATTGTTAATTATTAGACTGCTGTTAGAGAATAAGATAAATTTTAATAAAGATGGGTGAAGACAATACCACTATGACAGTGTCTAAATCGCGAATACACATTTAAATGTGAAACATGCTCATATATGTTATGTATAACCACATCAATCCAAGTTCTAAAATAATTCTGAAATGTTAAGATTAATATATCCGTCTGTTGGTTAAATTTAATTAATGTTTACTGAAATATTTCGGAATTAATTAAGAAGAAGTACCAAAAGTACCAACAAACTAAAATAAAGCATACGCGTTGGAAACAAGGAATCGGCACAGTAGGAATTCTATTCTCTGTAATATGTAATAAATGAGATATTTTTACTTTTGATGTTCGCTATATTATTTCACAAATACTCGCAAAAGCCTGGTTGGGGCTTTTTATGAGAAATAATTTAGTAAGTGAAAAAATTGCCAGCAAACTTCGGTTTCCGGTTAAGCCTCATAATTTTTTCAATGATTATGGTTCATAATTTTTTACTTCATGCATTTTAAGTTAATGTGTGTAATAAGAACGATAGAATATGTTCGAACAAAACCATTGTCTGAAAAATCAAATTAGTACGACCACAACGAGCTTTCCAATAATCATTTATAGTTTGTTTAGAATTTCATTGTATTATAATATCGGTACGTATAGAAATAGACTTCATTCACCAGGGCGATGTAATGAATTATATAATTATATCTCTATCGCTTATGTTCTTGTATGTATAATTCAGGCAAGAGGGTGAAAGTTTAGGCGGTGAGCAAAAATCGAAGAGCTAAATATTTTAAATAGGTTCACGAAAGTTTCGGAAGAAGCGAAAAGTTTTCGAAAGGAAAGCAAAACCACTATTCAAGGTTTTGTACGCATTAATATTTATTAAATCAAATGAGTCTTTGCAATGTTTTATATGATTTATTTTTATTACCTAACGAAATAAAAACATGTATTTTCGTCAATATCAGTAAAACTATAATATCTAATCCACATTTTTACACGTGTGTAGATAAATATAAATATGTTCACAAATTTATAGAACTCACATTTTAATTGCGTCTGATAAAGGAAATATAATTTTTGTATCGATAAATATAGTTTTCAGTATATCGATGAAATTACCTCTCAGTTTCTACAGCAGAAAGCAGACTAATAGAGAAATAATTGATGGAGTCAAGATAGTACTCGTATTTTAAATTCGTTGATTGGGTGTAGCATATCGCGTTCTAATCTAATATTTTACACTACATTGTTGTTGGTTATGTGTGTCAAATATCATTAAACTTGATACGATTATTTGTTACCTGTTAAGTTTTATTGGATAATTATTAACCTGTGTGACCTGCTTTACTTTATATTGATGCTATTTTATCTGTATAAAACTCAGTGGTGTGCATAGATAAACAATAGTGTCCCAAAGAACAAAACACCTAGGTAAAATCTAAAAATGCCCCACGTGTCTACTTTGGAATTTGATTGTATGAGTGAAATGATAATCAAAATGACTACGAATTTATCAACACTCTTTCAAAGGCGACTAATTTTTATGCGGTGCAAACAGAAAGTACTAAAAATATTTGAACCTCGGATATAAAAAGGTGTGTATATTCCAGTAATGTTATTGAAACATGTCTAGGCGCTTTCTCCACCACTGCTTTGTTGTCATTCTAGTTCAGCTTTTCCTTGGGTATGTTTTAATTCAAAGTCATGTCTGAGTTTGAGTGATTAGACACAATTAACAACATTACCTTGATCAACATTTGCAGCCACGTGAAGGTTGTTAGTGTTATGAAACAGTCTGAAACCGATTGGAAAAGATCTTTCACTGCTCGAAAGGAGATACTTTTTAACGAAACAATGGGGATATGTAAAATTTCATTACGATTGTGACAATTCTATTGTTTCAGGAGTCTCTTTAATTGTGTGTAAATGTTTATTTTCATCCAGTCACATTCCAGTATGAATCCAAATCTTGAATGAAATTTCTACCCGGTACTTTAATTACTCTCCGGATGTTGAAAAAGTATATTAAACGTGCAAATAACTGTGTTAATATCCACTTATAAAAATGGCATAATAATAATAAATAATTCATTCAATTCACGAAAAAATGTTTATTGTTCGTCGCCATCTGGTTTGGCTAACGATTAAAATGTTTTTCGATTAATAACGGACGCTCTTACGCGATAAGACAAATATAATGTAATATTTAAAATTTTCTGAATGTGCACTTTATTATTATTATTATTATTTTGCTAATTGGGTCGTTTTATTCTTTAATCATGTTTTTTAATAAAGTTCTACTGCTCGCAACTTGCAACTCATTAATGCGTGTTTTAATTGTGCTATAAATAAGCCAGTGTTCTCAAGTTGCACCTATGCACAAAAATAAGTCTGTTTAGCGATTTAAAAATACAATGCAGCGACCGTTAAATTTTACCAGAACACAAAACCGTCGTACGACCTGATTCGTAGAAATAAAACTACCTTCTTTAAACAAAGACGAAAATGGTACATGCCGGAATATTTAATACCTTAAAAATATTTATCTTTATATCTGTAAGGGTTAAATTTTAAAAAATTTTAATTACCAAACTTAACATTTTATTATGAATGTATTTTTCCGTTTCAGGAATCATATTTTATTTGGTGCTTTGGCACAACTGAAGCGGGTTGTTATGGAGCCATCGATGTATCTACAGGGGACTCCTATTTGTTTGTCCCTCGCTTTCCAGCCGAGTACGCTGTGTGGATGGGGCCTCTGGTGTCCTTGACTGCCTTCAAAAATAAGTACGATGTAACTCACGTTTATTATGTAGACCAGGTAAGACCAAAGTTGTACTTTTAAGAAATATATGGGGAAGTATTTTATCTTATGTAAACATTTTTCTTTGCATTCAAGGCGATCTGTATAACGTTTATAATTTTTCTTTACTACAAATGCATCCTTTATTTGGTATTTTTGCGTAATGCGTTTCGCCATACTTGGACATGCTCAAGTGAGACAGCACGACCTAAATTCTAATCTACTGTTTCCATTTACAACGACAATTGTTTTTAATTGGGTGGCTATGATAGAAATAAAACGTTATTGATCTGTAGTACATTAAATATCACTTATCCAGTATGGCTAGTGAAGTGTCATTATCTGTTTTAATACGTTTTTAATCGCGGAGGATATGTTACCACAGGAAATAAAACTCGAAAATTGATTTTCTTTGTGCGGTGGGATTTTATTTTATTATCATTCACTTATCGGAGCCTCAATCTTTTTGTCTGCCAGTGACAGGAAAGCTGTTTTGATTATTCTTTTACGCATTTAAGCTGTGAATAAAATATGCAGTCTACAAAATAAACATGTTTTTCTAGGAAAAACTTAAGTGGACACCACGTGGCGCACGATTTGAATGAATTCTTTAATATTTTAAATGTATGAAATTCTCTCAGTTGCAAAATCTAAGGAAGCTTTAGAAATACCTACCTGCTTGTAAAATTTTCAGTTTCAAAACATCATCTTACATTGCTTTACTGGCGACTGCCTTATTACTCCCCATCCTTTAACATTTTTACCTTTCTTTTGTGAATATCAGTTAAGGATAAAGGCTATATTACAGTAGTACCACTAACAAAATAAAGTAAAGGATCTATGTACATTTAATTATTTTTTTGACTAATGTTGAGGAATTTTAGAGCTCATCATAAAAGATGAGTTTAAAAGATATATGTTATATTGCAAAATAATAACTTTTCATAACAATGAATTCGAAAATGAATATTTTCTGCGCGAGCAAATTAGGGTAAATTATTGTGTTGTTTCAATCTCAGCCTTGGCACATATTAAAAATACGTTGTTAATAGCTGCACCCATCATAAATATCATGCAAAATTTAACGTTTATGTGTAGGTAAATGCCTGAATAATCATTTGAAAGTGTATTAATCACTGCCTAGTTTGTTAACAAAGGACTCGACGACAAGTAGAATAGAAATAAAAACAATTAAATTATTAAGCGATCGTGACACTGGAATATCACAATACAACAAAAAAAACCTTGGTACATATTTACTCAACAAAAGTAAACATGAGTCTTCACTAATCTCATAAACAATACTATTCTAAACCATTTCGGTATTGCTATTATTTTAAAGGTAATCGTACCGATAAAATGTTTTTTACCTATGTAACTTCCCTTTGCATACCTCCAGTATAAAGGAACATCTTGAATGCACGAAAGAAAAGAATATTATAAAGATTTGAAACACTACACTCATACTTGGGGAATAATTAATTTTTATGGTATTAACTTGATTAAATGTATTATACCAGATAAAATAAACCATAACCAGTTTAGATTTATAGAAATACATATTTTGAATTATATTTTTGACCATCAATAAATTTGTTGTACTGAAAAACTAAATCGTTTAGCATTCATTCACCTTTCTAATCTTTTTAAGAATTTCATATAAATTTAATTTAAAACATGGGTTATTCCTACATGATTCATCGTAACAGATCACTCTTAATAGTTTACCGGTGCAGAGTATTTTTATTTAGTCCGTTTCTCGCTCTTTTCAATGAACTTTAAAACTGATCGGTACAGTTACAGTTTAGTAAATTTTATGTTCCATGCAGGATGAATACATCATTTTTAATTTAATATTTAATCTTAAACAATTTTTAATGAGGTAATTGTTACAAATGATTGTTATGAATGTCGAGAATCGTTATACCACGTATCGTGTTGTGATGCGTTTTTACGGTAGGTATACTCAATGAAATATCACAAACCAGCCGCATTCTCTAAATCACCCTCTTGATCCCTAGTTGTTAATTGAAACACGAAAAAAAAATCGCCAATCCCTTGCGTTGGCGTTATGATTAATCCTTTAATGGAAAGGATTAATTTTGTTTACTGTGTAAGCCTTATATGTAGAAAATACAAGGTGTAACAGAACAGATAAAATCTTCCACGTGTTCTCCGCTGAAATACAGTTTTAATTTTGAAAATCAAACAATTATTAATACCTCGTAGAACCTTTCATGATAATTCTTTTTTTTAATAAAATGCCATTCACCTTTTATACATATTGTAAACAAGGGAAAAGTCTTGGCCATTTCATTTATTTCAAAATTAATAGAAAGCGAGGAAGTCCACAGTGGCACACTTCAACGTTTGAATGATTTTCCGGCAACACTTTTGTTTGTTTAAGTTTGTTAAGTTAATCATTTTTGTTTCAGTTGGATGAAATTCTGCAAAAAATCAATAGAGGGTCTCTGCTCACGCTGGTATGTAACTTTAATAACACAGGTACACAAAAAAAAAATTATAAACCAGAGTGTAGGACCTCGCTATTCTTAGGTTTTTGGGGTCGCTGAAACCGAATATGACCATAAAAAATTATTTCCGTTCTCCCGCTAGCACCCCCTGAAGGGGGTTAAATTTTAAATTTTCGTACAAAATTAAAATGTATGCGTATTTCTATGTTTTTTTTGGGACACTGAAATCGAAAATGACTACAAAAAATGAATTTAACCCCGCTCTTATCCGCTAGCACCCCCTTACCACCCCTTGAAGTGTGTTGAATTTTAAATTTTTGTACAAAATTAAGATGCATGTTTATTATTTTTATTTTTTTTTGGGAAGCTAAAACCGAGTTATGATTTCTGCCCTAATCATAACCGTGTTTATTTTGCCTTTTGATATTTTGAAGTTGACACCTTATTCTAGACAAAATATTTAAATTTTTTTTCCATTTGCATTTTGTTTTCTCTTTGATTTTAATGTCTTATTTACGTTTATTTTTTTATGCCTCCGGAATAGAATTGATTCATTATCTACTTTTGCGACTAAGACCTCCACGCGGTGAAGGTGGATAACAGTTTAACTGGCTTAGAAGATCGTTTGAAAGCAAGAGAATTCGGTATCATAGAAAGAGGTAAATGCCTAATCGTGAGAGGCAAGGGGACTCACGTTAATCAAGCACCCCGAATCGTGAGAGGCAAGGGGACTCACTTTAATCAAGCACCCCGAACCGTGAGAGGCAAGGGGACTCACGTTAATCAAGCACCCCAAGGGGAACAGAAACCTACCACCTCCACGCCGTTGTTCNTCAAGCACCCCGAATCGTGAGAGGCAAGGGGACTCACTTTAATCAAGCACCCCGAACCGTGAGAGGCAAGGGGACTCACGTTAATCAAGCACCCCAAGGGGAACAGAAACCTACCACCTCCACGCCGTTGTTCCTGGGTTTCGCTAAGGGTTGAACCAAATCATAAATACATCTAAGAGCTGATATTTCTGATCGGTGAAGTCTTGACGTTTACGACATAGGAGCTGGGGGTACTCTTAAACTTGTCTAATTAACAGGTAATTGACTTTGGATCGTTGAAATTTTGAGCGTTGAGCCCATGAAAACTTTGGGTCTCCTCTTATTTCCGAAAACGTTAGCGCAATTTACCGAGAGGCAACTTTCATGTGGATCCTGCTGGTTCTTTTAAATGATTGTAAGGGAGTGTAAGGGGGTAATCAAGTAAGTGGATATCATTTTTTGTAGTCATTTTCGGTTTCAGCATCCCAAAAAACATAGAAATACGCATACATCTTAATTTTGTACAAAAATTTAAAATTTAACCCCCTTTGGGGGGTGCTAGCGGGAAAACGGACAATTGAAATCATTTTTTATGGTCACATACGGTTTCAGCGACTACAAAAACCTAAGAACAGTGGGGTCTACCCTCTGGTTCATGAAATTTTTTTTTGTGTGTGTGGTATTTACAAACATTCCTTTTTATCTAGAAAGGTCCAAACACTGATAGTGGTCTTGTAGCTAAGGAAGCAACTTTTGCAGAAATTTCAAAGTGAGTCTATTTTTTAATACAATAAAGTTATTTCATTAATTATTTATAATTTTGTAGATACACTGTGGATAATGAAGTACTGTTTCCAATTATTGCAGATTTGTAAGTAAAAGTTTATATATTCAGAGGAACAAGTTGGAATATAATGCTTATTTTCAGGCGAGTTTATAAAACTCCATTTGAAATTGAAGTAATGAAATACGTTGTAGAAATTTCTTCCGCAGCACACATGCATATAATGCGTACTGCAAAAGCTGATATGTACGAGTACCAGTGCGAGTCAGAATTTTTGAACTACTGTTATCGAAAAGGAGGATGTAGACATGCATCGTACACTTGTATTTGTGGATCAGGCACAAATGGAGCAATTCTACATTACGGTCATGCAGGAGCTCCCAACAATTATCCAGTGAAAGATGGGACACTATGGTAAAATTTTTATTTAATATTATTTTCTCGTTTAAAAAAAAAATACCTAATTACTTTTCAATTTTTTCAGCTTGTTTGATATGGGAGCCAACTACTTTGGTTATGCTGCTGATATAACTGTTACCTTCCCGGTTTCTGGGAAATTTACTCCTGACCAGAAATTAATATACGAGGCAGTTTTAGCGTCCAATTTAGCAGTTTTTAAAGCTGGGAAGCCAGGAGTTTCTTGGAGTGATATGCACGTACTTGCTAATCGTGTATTATTGGAAGAACTAAAGAAAGGAGGTATTTTAAAAGGATCCGTAGATGAAATGTTGGACGCAGACATAGCTGCCATTTTCCAACCTCATGGTTTAGGCCACTTATTGGGACTGGATGTTCATGATGTTGGAGGTTACCTTAAGGGGCATCCTGAACGTTCCAGCAGGCCAGGGCTTAAGAGTTTACGCACTGCTAGGCTATTGGAGGAGAATATGTGCTTTACTATTGAACCCGGCTGCTACTTCATTGATCCGGTATGTTAGTAATTCAAGTATTTTTTTCTTTAACACTAATTTATGTACTAACATTTTAGCTGTTGGATCAAGCTTTGGCAAATCCAAAGCAGTCGAAATTTTTGGTTCCGGAGGTTTTGCAAAGGTTTAGAGGATTTGGAGGTGTTCGTATTGAAGATGACGTTTTAGTTACGAAAGATGGAATTGTTAATTTAACAAAAGTCCCAAGAACGTACGTTTAAAAGCAGAAATCTTTTATGTATTTTAGATATTTTTTTTATTTTCAGGGTACAAGAAATTGAAGACTGGATTTCTGGTAAAAATGATATTCTGGAGAAGTTAAATATTAAAGTATGATTTGTTGCCTATTGTACTTATCTTCATAAAATTTGTTTATTCTATTTTTGCATACAGAACAAATATTATTGTACCAATAAATATATTCCAAGTTTATTGTATGATTACCAAGATTATTAAATAAAAAAATGAATATGTTTAAATTTATTTTTATTTCATAACAATTTAATAAAAATTCATATTAATTACCTCTAAAAATTTGAAAAAGAAGACAGCAGTACTACAACAAGGTATACAGCTCAGTATTGCATGAAAACTAACTTCAAAAGTAATGAAGGCAATTTATATGTACCATAAATATAGGCCATGTTCTTTTATTAATCAATTTAATGTGATGGATTCCATAAATGTATTATTATTAGCCATATACAGGGTGTCCCCAGTTCGGGTTGCCTATACCTGAAATGGATACAAAATTTCAATTGTCAAAAAAAATCATTCTGCATAAAAATTTTTGCTTGTCCAGAAGCCCTTGGCAAAATAGTCGTTTGTTCAATTTAATTCAATTTAATGTACAGGGTGTTCAAAAATTTTAAAAAGGTAAAAACAGTAAAGAGTAAAATACCCTAAATCTTAACGCTACGTGAAAAAGTAATGGGGAAAAGTTGCTTGGAATTAAACTTTGTTTAAATATGAAAGCATGGCCTTCTAGTTAATACTCCTATCTCTAAACAGAACTCCAAACGATGTGCATCATCACCAACTTCTAGAGTGTGAATTACTTTTGGTTTGAAAGCCTTAAACTTATTTTCTACCAAAATCCTCTGAATATGTGTCTTGTTAACATCGATTTGTTTAGATATCTTCCTTAGTGACAGTCTCGGGTTTTCTTCTACCGAATTCAAAGCTAGTATTGTGGCTGCATCATCGTCATCGTGTCTTTTTTGACCTTTTTACGTTTTTTACATCACCAGTTAAATGAAATTTTCGAATTAGTTTTCTCAGGTTTTGGCGGGTAACTTTAACATCTGGATATTCAATTGCTTGGCTATAAGAAATGTTATCGATACCGTAACATTTAACAAGATAAATGCGATGCTGTAAAGTAAGCATTATTTGAATAAAATTAAATATTAACACCTAATGTCAAACAATTATTGGCAACAATTGCCTTCTATAAATTTTTGGTATTTTGATTATTTCCTTTGGGGCTTCTTGAAAGAAAGAGTGTACAGAGAACCAGTGCAGCACAATGTTGATTTCTTGAAAAACAGGATAATTGAAGCTATTGCCCAAGTAAATGAAGAAATGATACATTCGACCTATGCATTTAGAAAAAGATTGGAGGAGTGTTGAACTTGGCGGACTTCATGTAGAATAGTTTTGTAAAAGCGTACTAGAGATGTGTTGCTCTTTCACTGTCTGCTACTTTGGCACTGTCCCGCAGTTGCCACTGGAGCTGACTGTTCCGCTGCGACAAAAGAAGCGGTGATTTTTCGGAGCGTTTACTGCAAAGTGCAATTTACTAGCGCCAGAGACATAGCTCTGGCGTGCCGGCCGCAGCAGAGCAGATTCTCGCTCAGCCGTTGCGATCTGCGCTTGAATTAGTCACAGTGTCACACACTAAACATATAATACAGTGGCAGTACAGTCGCGTTTGATTTAAAGACATTGTATTTCAGCGATTAGAGCAATTCGTGTATTGCTGGTTGCTGCTCTACAAATATTTTAAAAGTTTTTCTTTACAAAATCACTTAGATTAAGCAAAAAACATGCGACTGTTCTTCATTTGTTTTTGTTGCACTCGCGGAAAAATTTTGAATATATGGTACTGTACTCACTGTAGGATGTCGTCGTTCTATGTGTCTTTTTAAATTGGTGATTTAAGATTTATAACAAGTATTTTGCTTGCATATATTATGCTTTACTTTCATGCGTTGGTAAAAATAAATTCCACAGGAAAGATTTTCTTCGTTTATCCATTTCCAATTTTATTTGTAATAAAAATTTATTAGTAGTAACTTAGGACAAAATAACATCACTATGCTATATCAAATTCAAATAAATAATGCGAAAGCGAAATAACAAATTGAGCAAAATCTACGAAAGTTGGCACATAAAAAACAGCGCATAACGAAAGTATTCCTAGCGCTAGCCGTTATTAAGCACGACAGGTGTCGATTTATGAACTCTGACGCAGAAATAAGGGAACATATCACGGTAGGAATGTATGCGCGTGCTACCAGGAGCTGTTCCGAAAAATCGCAGCTATTTGTCACTGTTCTGTTGCCGGAGCAGTAGCAGGTGTCACTGCTCCGCAAAAAGAGCAGTTTAGCCCATTTCTAGCGCGTACATACTGATTCTGCTGTGTTCTCAAAATAAATGTTGGATTAATGTTTTTGAGGTTTTTGATCACCCTGTATAAAAATAAATTATTAATATGCAAACATGTGTATCTGTTTTTCAATAAAGCAATATTTTTTAAATAGAATGGCTTCTCCGAAAGTATTAAAAAATAAGTAGAGTCCTAGAATATCCCAGAATGTCGAGTATTAACTAGAAGGCTATGCTTTCATATTTAAACATAAAATTTAATTCCAAGCAACTTTTCCCCATTACTTTTTCACGTAGTGTTAAAATTTAAGGTACTTTACTCTTCACTGTTTTTACCTTTTCCAAATTTTCGAGCACCCTGTACATTAAACTGAACAAATTACTATCTTGCCAAGGGCTTCTGGACAAGCAAAAATTTGTATGAAGAATGATTTTTTTGACAATTGAAATTTTGTATCCATTTCAGGTATAGGCAACTCGAACTGGGGACACCCTGTATGTTTATTTGATTACATCTGGTAAAATTTATAAATTTAATCAAAGTTTTGAAATATATTGCATAAAACTCAGTTACTGAAATTACTTAACTGCCTAATTAAATCTCACGAAATACATTTTTTTAGAAGAAATTATTTTATTAAATGTGACTAACAGGATAAAGTACAAATTCTATATTTCACTATTATCATTATATCAACACTTTAATTGACATCATAGATCGTATGATAACTTTTATAAGCGGCTAACAAATCTATTTCTAATCACCATTTAACTTTGGAACAAAACAATTTGTAAAAAAAATTTATATTCTGCTGCCGGTCCAATCTAACCGATTACTTTTCTCTTCACGTTCAACAGAAGAGGAGGATTCGACTTTCCTTACATTCTCTATAAATAAATATTAATACAAACAACGTTAATACATTTTAAATAAGACTAGGAACACGATTACTCTATTTTTTCAATAACGTCCAAATTAAATTAAAGTCAAATACTACAATAGTTTAACTTACCACCAACATCCATTGATTCCGTAGAGTCAGTAGCTCCTATTAAAAATTAAAAGTAAGTACACGTTATTATCTCGATATACTTAGATCAATAATAAATGTCGAACAAGTAGAAATTAAACCAAACGAATTGTGAAACTCAAAATGTACGTAAGTGTAAACTACTGCCCTACAAATTCCGATAATGCTCCTGTGAGATGAGATGAGATGAGATGTGAGATATGTGCACAATTTTCCTCTGGAATTATGATGTACTACTCAGCCTTATCAGTTTTTATATGTAAAATTATGTACAGTACGCACGATATTTGTCGACATAGAATTCATTCCAAGAAGAGCCCTGCGTCACTTTCTTGGTATTAACCGCATTCGATACCCGAGGTAGAAAGACTGGCGGCGTGGCGTTCACCGTTCATCCGATTGAAAAAGTTAAAAACAACGTAGCTGAGAAAAATGTTTTATTTAATTTCTATCTCAACAGATATCGTATGGACTGTACATTTCGATCTATTTGACCTGGCTGATTAAGATCGAGTGTGTAATGGCAAAGTGTATAAATTGCCTGCGGAGTTCATTTTATTGTCAGAACTCATAGAGGAAAATAATTAATCATAAATACTTATTAGTGTAAAAAATCGTTGGCAGCAGGTAATCAAGAATTTTACCCATTTTTGCATTCTCTCCTTGTTGTACTTTGGGTCACACCACTCGATCATTTAACTTTTCAAATGTAGTACGCCCTCTCACGTTAGCACATCTCATTGACCAAATGCGATTAGTTGAGCTATATGTAGAGATAATTGCAACTGAAATGTGAACATTTAACTTACCCAGTGGCTTTTCAGACTGACCAGGTGTCACATCTTGATTAAGGTCCAACTCTGAGGCATCATTAACGAAAAATTATTAGTTAATCTTATTTATACAAAAAAATAGTGTCCCCATCTCTAAATAATTAATAAGAGTTAAAAACCCACTAAAACAGAAAGAAAAAACCAAACCATTGGTCTTGAATATTTTTAATTATAAAAAAATGAAACAAAATTACCCATAAGATTTACATAAGCTAATTTGAAATATTATTAACCCTCTAAGGATGAGTTAGGAAGCACATTTGCGGATATATACAGGGTGTCCGCAAATTTCACTGACAACGTTCAACTGCATATCCATGACGTTAAATAAATACGATCTACGAAAAAAGTTAGATACAAAATTTTTGGTTTTTGAGTTACAGATCTTCAAAGTTGTCAAAAACAAATTAATTTAATTAATAACTTCCTAACCCTTTTACCGATCGCGTTAAAATTTGGCACATTTATTTGCACTATAGCCATATTATTTCTTAAACTTCTGTCAAATCGATATACTGGGTGATAGTTTTCTCTGGTTACCTCCTTCTTTTAGCGGATAACATTGAAAAGGTCGTTTATTTAAAAAAAATGGTCTCTTGAGAAAATCGCCTAGAGAAAGCCATTCTTGAGAAAAATGATTAGCCATTATTTGCAGGTCTGTATATTTCAGTTTTCGTAGTAATGTCACGGATTAAAATCATTGAGTTCAATAGGCGATGGAAACAAAATGTTGATTGCAGTGGCTATCAGGTAATGTCATTATCGTTGTATTTCTTTAGGATTCTCTTCACTCCACACATGCAAATTATGAAAATTTACAACTCCATTCCTTGCAAAACAAGATTCGTCTGTTAAAAATAATTTTTGAAGCAAATTATTATCTTCTGCGAAGCCATTCACCAACTAGCGGCAAAATTGTAGACGTGCGTTAGGATCTAAATCTTCAAGTTCTTGAGCAGGAGTTAAACGAAATGGCCGAAGAAGTTGCTGTTTTAAGTTTACTAT